ATCCTCTTCAGCTTCGTGATCCCCTTCTGCATATAGTCCCATCCTTGATCCAACTCAATAACTTTGCGCTCCATTTGTAACAAAAGATTTGCTACCCTCCCACTATAACTCTATCAACATAGAAAAAACAAACAAAATGTTAACCATATTGCCTACTTGTATATTCGAGCACACATACTGTTGTGTGCAAGTATAGTCGTGTAATAATTTGGAAACAATTATAGATTAGCACTCAATAGTCAGACCAAATGCGTGGCAAATATATAACAATCATATATTCCATAACACCAACAGAAAAATATACGGCCATGCTCCACGTCACCCCACGTGTTAGGCTTGAAAATTCCATCACGTGTGAGGGGGTGTGTTGAGAGTAATCTCACATTGATGAGAGGAGGGACGTTGCATGTGCTTATAAGTAGTTGGGCTACTTGGTGGAACCCAACTTTCTTCGGAACAAACCATGGTAATCAAATAAGTAATAGCAATGCCATTAAAATCATGGATAAAAACCTAGATTAATCAAGAACAAACACCCTTAAATAGATGATGAACAAATGATGACATGGGAAATATTCCAAAATAAAAGCCTAAAAAATGGGGAAAACCCTAGATAGATCATAGACAAACAAAAATTGAAAATCATATATTCTGCATAGAACACATAAACATTGCTAACAAAAAAAACCTAACACACAGATCGCTGAATAAACAAAACCCATAATCTTCCATAACAGAGAAAAAAAAAACACGAAAGCAATATTACACAGCGAAGAACAAGGAAAAACCCTAATTGCAGAGAGGGGGGTCGATCGTGTGGAAAATCGATAGAGTTAGGGAAAATCCCCAAATTCCAATCCCTGGAAATCGCGGAGAGGAAAATAGTGGAGGACGAAAGAGTGAGAGACTAACTAGGGGTCAGGTTTTTCTCCTTTTTTATATAGAAAATAGCCAGGACGAAAATATTTAACAAAATATTAAGTCAGCATTACTCTGCGGAAAATAGTAGGAATTTTATTATTATAAGATTGTTAATTATAACATGATGCCTTCTTTTAATTTTGTAATGGACCTTTTTTTTTACCCTCATGTTTTATGGTTTTCAATATTTAGTACATCAAGTTTTTTTCGTCTCAGATTCATACCTAAAATGTAAATTTTGGGACAGTCTCATACATCCATTAGTAAAACTGTTACGTCTCTCGTTAACTGTGACGTGGCGCACTAACTGGGCACCACGTGTCATCCACTTTTTTTTTTCTTTTTTCTTTCTTTTCTTTTCTTATTCCTTCTTCTTCTTCTTCTTCATCAGACACCGCAACTTTTTTTTTTCTTCCTCCGTCTCCTTCTTCCTTCCCCATCTTCCTTTTTCTTCCTTCTCCTTCTTCTTCTTCCTCTGAAATCTGGGGAAGTTTGTTTTTTTTTTTTTTTTCTTTTTTCTTCCTCCTTCTTCCTTCCCCTTCCTTCTCCTTCTTCTTCTTCTTCCTCCAAAATCTGGGGAAGTTTGTTTTTTTTTTGTTTTTTTTTCTTTTTTCTTCTTCTTCCTCCTTCTTCCTTCTTCTTCTTCTTCTTCTTCTCTTCTTCTTCTTCTTCCTCCGACTGCAACTTTTTTTTTTCTTCCTCTTCCTCCGAAATCTGGGGAAGTTTGTTTTTTTTTCTTTCTTCTTCTTCCTCCTTCTTCCTTCCCCTTCTTCATTCTTCTTCCTTCTCCTTCTTCTTCTTCTTCTTCCTCCGAAATCTGGGAAAGTTTGTTTTTGTTTTTTTTTTTTTTCTTTCTTCTTCTTCCTCCTTCTTCCTTCTTCTTCTTCTTCTTCCTCCGACTGCAACTTTTTTTTTTCTTCCTCATTCTTCTTCTTCTTCCTCCTCCTTCCTTCCTCCTTCTTCTTCTTCTTCTTCCTAAAAAAAAAATTTCATCTTCCCCTAGATTCGGAGGAAGAAGAAGAAGAACGAAGAAGGGGAAGGAAGAAGGAGAAGAAGGGGAAGGAAGAAGGAGGAAGAAAAAAAAACTGAATCTGGGCAAATTCGGAGGAAGAAGAAGAAGAAGAAGAAGGAAGAAGAAGAAGAAAGAAGAAAAAAAAAAGAAAAAATTGAATCTGGGTAGATTCAGAGGAAGAAGAAGAAGAAGAAAGAAGGAGGAAAGAGAAGGAAGAAGAAGAAAGAAGGAGGAAAGAGAAGGAAGAAGAAGAAGAAGAAGAAAGAATGAGGAAAGAGAAGGAAGAAGAAGAAAAAGAAAAAAAAAATAAAAAAGCTTCCCCAGATTCGGAAGAAGAAGAAGGAAGAAGGGGAAGAAAGGGAAGGAAGGAGGAAGGGAGGAAGAGAGAAGGAAGAAAAAAAAAAGTTGCAGTCGGAGGAAGAATAAGAAGAAGAAGAAGGAAGAAGAAAAGAAAAAAAAAAAAAAAAAAAAAGTGGATGACACGTGGCGCCCAGTTAGTGCGCCACGTCACAGTTAACGGAAAACTTAACAGTTTGACTAACGGATGTATGAGACTGTCCTAAAATTTACACTTTAGGTATGAATCTGAGACGAAAAAAACTTGATGTACTAAATGTTGAAAACCACGAAACATGAGAGTAGTAAACAATATTTTACCCTTTTTTTATATACAAACGATAGGGTTAATAGATGAAATATTTTTTTTAGGGTATAAGACTGTTTACTACTCTCATGTTTCATGATTTTCAACATTTAGTACATCAAGTTTTTTTCGTCTCAGATTCATACCTAAAGTGTAAATTTTGGGACAATTTCATACATCCGTTAGTCAAACTGTTAAATCTGTCGTTAATTGTGACGTGGCGCCTAGTCATTGTCCACATGAACGCCACGTCACAATTAACGACAGATTTAACAGTTTGACTAACGGATGTATGAGACTGTCCCAAAATTTACACTTTAGGTATGAATCTGAGACGAAAAAAACTTGATATACTAAATGTTGAAAACCACGAAACATGAGAGTAGTAAATAGTCTTTTACCCTTTTTTTTATAAACAATAATGTAAAGGTGGTTCAAATTTGTTTTTCGTGATAATCGAACCTAAAACTTCTAACATACGAATGAAGAAGAATACTGCTAGACAATAGTACTAAGTAACTAATAGGTGAAATTGATGTTATTCACTTTTAAGTGAGAGATTTTAGGTTTGATTATCGTCAAAGTTGAATTTGAATCGTATTATTGCTAGCTCATTATGAGGCTAAGCTCATCCATTCCCATCTAATATCTTTGTTAAAAAAAACATTAATAGATGCTTGTGAAGAAAAACACTTCAAGTGTTTTTTTCTAGATTTACTTGTGTTTCTATTAAGAATTGATCCAATATTATCTTCACCAAAAACGGTTTAAGTCATTTTAAAAGCATTTCGAAACAAGTCAGATGTCCAAAATGATTGTGGGAAAAATAATATTTTGGTATTTCATTAAGTTAAATTGATATTTATATTTATTTTGCTGAAAGGTTATTTTATTGTTAAAATTTGAGAGTCGTGCTATGAATAAAATTAAGTTTTTTTCAACTCAAAGAAATATATTTATATCTAAATTTAAATTACCCATTAATAAAACTTTATTTGTCAATAAAAAATGTTGAAAAAACTATTTAGTCTTCTATCATAAAAAAATAAAAACTACGTAAGTTTTCAAAATTAAAAAATAAAAAGAATTGTCATGTATTGTAGGACTCTCGTAACCCAACAACACATTAAGGCCGAAAAATATAGGTCGTTGAATAAGCCCTATGGACCAATATAAGCCCAGAAGCTTTAGGACATAGAGCCCATGAATTACAAGAGCAGGCCACCATGGGGATCACCCTGACGCATGGTCACCATTGGTTGGTCCGCCCACACACTCACTTTTGAGATGACCGACTGATCATCACCTGAGAAATTAGATCGCACGAGAAGGAGATATACTCTTATACAACTAAACACACCACATGGTAAACATCAATCAGTCAATTGGTTTACTTTTAGAACTCGTGATAAGCAATCATTGAATCAATGACACCATTGTAATTGTGCATTGGGTGCAATAGAGACCTCTTCACGTAAAATATATGATATATGGATGAATCTATTATCTAAACGTGTTGAGTTCGGATTAACCTGGATAGAATACACGCGTTGATGACAAACCTTAACCTAGACAAGATTACTAAACCTATCATATTTTCTCATCATGAACATACACATGGAAATTATAACGATTAACCCATTTAATAATATGATTATTTTTCATGTGTTTGATCCTAGGATCCACCCTAATTTTATGTGAGAAAACCAAATATAATACAAATCCAAGTTGCAAGGCACGTGCATACCACACGAACGTGTCAAATTCAACTTCATATTTTATGGGTCAGATGTGGGTTAGACGAGTTTTGCTTACATAAGCAATTAAGAATGAGATTCACTCCGATCTATGTGTCCAAAACTTGCAGACCATTCAAGATAGAGAAAAAGATTTGGGTTGTTCAAGCTTTTGGGTTTTTAGAAGTGGGCAAGTGGTACGGATTGACAGTGGCCATAGGATTGAAAGTCAGTTGTTTGAATTTCTTAATTAGCAAGCTTCACACACAGAAATTCAAAATGAATCTTAATTCAAATAATTAGATGTGTTCAAGAGTTCAACTTGATAATGGACACTAACACCATTATGACAAACCAAAACCCATTTATGTCATGTCCCAAATTAGCACGTGTAACTTTTTACAATTTATTATTTATTTTTGAGTACATCTATATTTTTATACTAAGGTGAGGGAGAGTTCGGCAAAACCATATAATGGGTAGCCTAATTTGGTATCAAATTCGCCATTTACAAGATTCGAATATAAAACTTCTCACTTTCAAATAAAGAAAATACCATTAGACCGTAATATTGAGTAGAGCATAACAATGCGACCGAAAAGCAAACCGAATCGGGAGAGAGCCCAAACCCACGAACCGGATCCGAAAGACACACGCGCCAATTGTTTTGGGTTTTACTTTCCTGCTCTGCTTCCACCCTGTTTCTCTCTCTCTCTCTCTCTCTTTCTCTCTCCTCTTCTCTTGTCGAAGCCTAACCCTAATTCTATCCCAAACTTCCCAGTGATTAAGAGCTGAATTCGAATTCTTCATGGGCTGCATTTAGCTTCAGAAACTCGAGCTTGGAGGTCGGCAATGGAGGATCCGTCGGCGGAGATGGAGATTGGGACCTCCCCGGAGTCGTTCGGGAAGTTCTTGGACTCGCAGAGGGAGCTTTTCCACAGCCAGATCGATCAGCTCCAGAGAATCGTCGGCACCCAATGCAAACTCACCGGTGTCAATCCTCTCTCCCAAGAGATGGTGCGTTGTCTTCGTATTCGAATTTGCATTCTGCGTGTTTGGTTTCCCGAGAAATTGGAGGAAAATTTAAAGAAAATTACAATACCTAATTCTAATGATGTTGTCTTTCGTTTTGTGATATGCAGGCAGCTGGTGCTCTTTCAATTAAGATTGGTAAGTATTGGAAGTGGGATTATTATTGCTAATTGTGGGGTTAATCTTGTTTAATTTGCTTATTCAGCTTAATTATGTGAGATGCTATATACCCATCTGGATGCTATAGTTTACTGTTTACAAATATTTATACTTTTCTTGTGTTTGTTCATTGTGGCCATCATCTGTTATATATTAACTAGATGGTCCAATTGCAGGAAAAAGACCTAGGGATTTGTTAAATCCAAAGGCTATAAAGTATATGCAATCTGTTTTTTCGATTAAAGATTCGATTAGTAAGAAGGAATCTCGGGAGCTCAATGCTCTATTCGGCATTACAGTCACACAGGTTACCTTTCATTCAGCTTTCCTTCTCAAATACTTGTTCCTTTAGATGTTTTTGTAATGCATTTAGTTTATGCCGTCATATGACCCCTACCATGTGCGCCAATGTGGTTTAAACTGATAGTGATATACCGCCTTACACTTTACAACAGGCTATTTTTTGGTTGATCCACGTTTTCTCCCCAGTGTGGTCCTTTTATGGTGATTTTTTTAATTGTTTCTTACATATGTTCCATTAATTGACAGGTTCGTGATTTCTTTAACAGTCAACGGTCGAGAGTTAGAAAACTAGTACAGTTGTCAAGGGAAAAGGCCTTGAAATCTGGTGAACATAAAGATTTGCAGGATGGGGTCTCAACAAGCCCTGATTCTTTGACACCAAGTGATCCAGTTCCCTTGAACTCTGTTGGTCCCGCAAATGTTGAAGATGCACCATCATGCTCAACGCAGGATGATGCTCCTTCTGGATTAGACGATTTAGATAAATGTTTTGTTGAAGACATTTTCAACCTGATGCGGAAAGAAGAAACATTTTCTGGGCAAGTGAAACTGATGGAGTGGATACTGCGGATACAAAATTCTTCAGTATTATGTTGGTAATACAAATCACTTTATAGGTTTCATAGTACAACACTATTTGTCTCTTTTCATGTTCCAAACATCCACTTGTATACGTGCAGGTTCTTAACTAAAGGAGGTGTAATGATTTTAGTAACGTGGTTGAGTCAAGCTGCTGTCGAAGAACAAACAAATGTTTTACTAGTTATCTTAAAGGTACTTATTGAACTGGAATCCATCTTGTCAATGATCTATCTTCCGCATTTAATGATTGTTGTTTAAAATTCTAACATTACCTGCTGCACAGGTTCTTTGTCATTTGCCTCTACATAAAGCACTTCCTTTGCATATGTCAGCCGTATTGCAAAGTGTTAATCGACTGCGGTTTTACAGGACAGCAGGTGTGTATTTGTTACAGATAGTTCTTTGGTGCTTTATCACCTCTCTACCGTACCCCGTCTCTCTCAAGTTCTTTCATGCTCATATCTGTGTGGTTAAACTTGTTCTTGACTCAACAAAACAAGGTTCTCAATATGCATAGATGGTTATATTGCTTTGATATCTCTAAACTATGGTTAGTACAAGTAAGCAACTCTATATGTTCTCCGGCCGTACTTTACCATACACAATAGCATTTTTCTTCTCATTCATCTTAGTTTTATTTCTAGGGCAAAATTCTTTTGTATAATAAGCGATCTATATATGCTGTATCTGTCATTTTTTATAAACCATGAAATTATTTAATCTCATTTATCTGATTTGAAGATCAGACATATCAAACAGGGCAAGAGTTTTGCTATCAAGGTGGAGCAAGTTATTAGCAAAAAACCAAGCTTTGGAGAAACCAAATGGCATTAAAACATCTAGTGATTCAGGACAAGAGTTAGTAATTCTGAAGCAGAGGCAAGTACATTTCTCAATTCTCACTGCCAATGCACTGAAAAATTGGGTAATCAGTTTTTACTAATCTAAAATTTTCTTGCAGTATCGATGAAGTTATGGGTGATGAATCGTGGAAGTCAAATATGGATATTTCTGTAAGTGCTTCGTAGATTTAATTAAAAATTCGTTCAAATTGATTTAAGGTGCGTAGTTTTTACAGATTTTATTTTATGTTTTACAGGAAGACTTCCTTGGAACACCATTTGAAAGTGCAGAGAATTTCAGGTAAGAATGTTTATTTCTTCTGACATACATGTTCATAAGACAGCGTTTGTGGTGTTATTCTTGAATGCATTTTTTTCAGGAAAGTAAATGCTTCAGAACCCTTGAAGTTATTGACAGCATCATCAGATGAGTCAAATAAGAAGAACATCCTCGGTGTATCTTCATCTCGTATCCTTAATATAGGTTTTTACAATTTTCTCCCAAGTGGTATATAGAACTTTTGAGTAACATTTACTTATTTGAACAAAATTATATCATTAGTTAAGAAAAGTAGGCTTTTTGTCGATGAAGGGTTTTATTTCTACGTTGTTATGTTTCTACGTGGATGGCCTAAAAAAATGTTATATGAATATAGTGTGTAAAACTTGATTTTTTAAACATATGAGAGTGAAGGAGCCTCTTTCCTTAGCTAGTGGCAGAATTTCGAGAGCGCAGAAAAGTTCAGTTGGTGGAACAACCTGGCCAAAAATCAGCTGGGAGAAGTGTTCAGGCCACAAGGACAACACCTGTGAGTCAGGCTCGTCCAATGTCTGCTGATGATATCCAAAAAGCAAAAATGCGAGCACAATTTATGCAGAGCAAGTATGGGAAATCTGGTTCATCCCATGAAAATAAAGAATTGAAGACTGAAGGTGTGAAAAAACTTAAAACTTCTCAAGCAAGCATTTTGCCTGTGGTACCCAAAGTTCCAATTCGGTCTAACATTGAGGAACCCAATATACCTGCGACATATCCTTTGAAAGAGAGGGAAACTCCTAATAGGCCCGAAACTACTATTGCCCCAAAGCGGAGTATGGATTTGAAGGAGCCCATATTAGAGAAGTGCAGGAGAATCCAGATCCCATGGAAGATGCCTCCAGGTACATATGCTTTTAGTGGCTCTTTTCTCGTTCCTTTGACTCTTTGTTCGTAATGTTAAGTATGAAAGCAGTAGGCGTAATAGAAAGGGAAAAGGGAAAAGAAAAATAAGAGATCTACCTTAGTTGTTTAGAGTTTGTTGGGAGAGTGCCTTCAGTACTTCCAACGTATATCATAGAGAGACAGTTAATTTTTTGAGTTAATAGCTTCTCATTGACCAATAATTTCCTTGCTCAACTTTTTTTTTTTTAATATCTTTTTTGTTCACTTATAAGAGTTGAACTCAAGAACTCCCGCTTACTAAATTGGTGCTCTAACTCAACCTTATAGCAGTTGCGTGTACCTCTTAAAATCCTTTGGACACTCAGACTTGGTCCTGTTACTATTTATGTTTTGCATTTTGGTAGGGAATGTTACAGTCCAGGCATCACAATTATGTGGTAGATTATACCTGCCGCATAGAGAAAACGAATGGAGGATGTCATTTCTTCCATGTGACAGTAGCTGGGTGTACTGGTGCCCATGTGGGTGTTCCTTGCCGGATAAAAGTGGGCTCGCTCAGTTTAGGTTTCTGAGTATATTAATGTCAATGCTTGTTTTGTTGACAGAAATGACTCGTCCTTTCCTTACTTTCTCCTCTATTGTTGTGGACTGTGATAATTCTGAGGGCCGTTTTGCCACACGTTACATAAATAATGTGCTACAAGATTTATTTGACGACATTTTGTTTCTTGTAAGAAATTTTAATAAAGTTTAGTTTTGTCATGATTATTTTATGGGTTCCTATGTGAATTCTACAAAGCAGGCTGAGTGAATGGAAATATCATCAATTTTGAATTCATTAGCTTGAAAAGATAAACATAATTGAATAACTGATTACGAACCAAACCCATATGGCCAGCACCCGGTAATTCACAGTTCCGGGAGCTCGCATTGAAACTCTGGTAGCATGCTTCATTATGAAATGCATCTTGAGAAGGACAAGAGGGACTTACCTGGCACGGGGATATACCCGTCTTCTACCTATCACGTGCGGAATGAGATAGGCATGAGACGCGTTTTATCCCATGATACCGGGCAAAATAACTGATGAACTTGGCCGTGAAGGCATTAACGGATAAATGGACGTTGATCGCTTAGAGGAAGCAAAAACAGAGATTCTGGACACTGTTATATTCGCCCATTATTTTTTTACTTAGTTTTTGGTTGGTTGATGGCTTCTGTAAGTGCTGAAAGTAACATTTTCTGCAGTTGGATACTTTTTCATGCCGTTTCCTTTCCTTTCTGCAGAAATAAAACTCGATCCTTCGTGGAGTGTTGGTGGTGGTGAGAATGGCAAAGAAAATGAAGTCCAGAGAAACAGAAACCGCCGCGAGAAGGAAATTATTTACCGGACAGTCCAGGAGACACCATCTAACCCGAAGGAACCATGGGACATTGAAATGGACTACGATGATTCTTTAACACCAGAAATACCAATAGAACAGCCGCCTGATGTTGCCGATTCCACTGAAACACAAGCTTTCCCTAGAGAATATAATCCAGAAACAATGGTCGTTCCTTCTCAAGGAGCAAACAGCGTCGCTTCCTTGCCACCGGCCTTATCTCAAATTAACAAAGCAAGCGCAGCTGAACCGGATCTAGAACTGCTTGCAGTACTGCTAAAAAATCCAGAACTGGTGTTTGCTTTGACTTCCGGCCAGGCTGCTAACTTGTCGAGCGAGGATACAGTAAAACTGCTGGATATGATTAAGTCCGGTGGGGCTGGTGTTGCCGGTAGTGTAAATGGTTTAGGTAGAAAAATGGAGGAGAGGGTCGAGGTTTCTCTTCCATCTCCGACACCTTCGAGCAACCCTGGAACGGTGCGTTACTCGGGCTCATTTTGCAACTTCTGCCGGACATTGTATTCACTCTTGCAGTTTTTGACTACTAGTAGAAAAAATTTACCATGCACTGCACTCTAGCCCCTCCCGCTCTAGAATCCTGAAAGCCAAGCAAATAGAAGCACAATTGATAATTTTGGTAAAAGTTGAACCTCCATTGGTGGTGTTGAACTGTAGCGTCTTGTTATCTCGATTCTGGTTAGGAGTCACCATCGATGAAACAAGTGGCAAGTAGTGAATGGTGGTTGATATTCCCGTGGACGGAGATAAACTTACCTACACTTCGGGATGTCATTGTCAGCGGTATTCCAAGCCAACGACAGGCTAAACGCTTTATGGCTTTCCCACATGGCAATGCATTATTGGTTTGACATATCATCACAGTGACATCCCCGTTCACCTTTAGATAGATGGGATGGGAATTCTCTGCATGGGCCATAGATGGTGGCCAGGCTATAAACCTTATTAGGGCCACATATTGTGTAATATTACAGAAAAAGGAAAATTTGAGAAAATTCTGTGAATTTAACCATTGAAACTTTAATTTCTTGATGTAATCATACATGTTCAGTATAATTATCTGCAAGTTAAACTGATTGTTTTTCTGCGGTTTTCGCAGAGTGGATGGAAGGGAGATGCTGGAAGGAATGCATTTCCCCAACAGATGCCACAGGTTTCATCTGCTCATCGCAGTATTCCGCCTGAACGGCTATCAACTCCGCAGCCAGCGGTACCTTCATACTCACCGGATTATTATCCTATGCAAACACCGGCATCGGAGATGACTTCTATTACGAAGAACACACACTTTCACAACTTATCGAACATGACTGTGCCATCAGTTTGGGGTGAGAGCACGAGCAATGTCGAACGAGCGCCTCTGTCTACCTCATATAATCTAGCAGAAATGCAGCAGCCCTTGTTTTCGAATATGGCAAGGCAACAAAGACAACCGCAGCCGTTACAACAACAACAACAACGTTTTTCTACACCTACGTACTCGCCTAATCCGCCGATGGGAAAAGCCGTCCCTCCGTCCGAGTCGTGGAGAGCCAGGCAGGATTTGACTTCAAATTACCATTACTTAGAGAACCAAAACCAGTATAACGCATCGCATGGGGGACATTTGCAGCCTCACTTGTCAGGTCCTTGGGAAGGATATGAACGTGTTGGCAGCAACCAAGATTTCCATTCGTGGAGTCCGGATGATGATGATAGTCCGAGTAGAAATCCCGGCTACATGTACGGAAGAGAACCCAGAACAAATCCGGGACGGGATTACACGTCAAGGGGAAGGAATCCTGCCGGATACCGCGGTCATACTCGGCAGCGGGGGAACAGATGGCCTAACCGCGGCGGAGACTGAGTTCCTATAATCCAGACTGGATATGTTACGAACGGACTTGTTCTCTCTTGCCCCTTCGTGGATTAAGCATTGGGACGGATGAATGACGTGACACGAAAGTCCTTACTCTCTCGAGTCTCAGTTTTGGAAACGAGTGAGAGCTTGTAAAAGCCATTGTGACTGTGACTGTAGATTTGAGATGCTCATAAGAACACTCTACTGATCATTAATTTCAATTTTATTAGGGTGAAAAAATATTCTAAATTTTGGGCAAACATTTTTCTTTGTAATTTTCACTTTCTAAAAACAAATATCAAAATTCTAAAGCCTAATTCTTTAATTTGACGATTGGATTTGTTACCTATCTGAATTGAATTGTGCTTTTGGGCCCAAGACTTCGGCTTTCTGGTCCAAAGAAATATAAACTGTAAATCTTGAATTCTTTTCAATAGTTTGTTTTGGTGTGATTATGGTCTTTCTCTATGGACTCTTTCGTCTCTCATTCACAACGGCATTAAGCTTGTGAAGAGATTTTTCATTGTCTCAGGAACCCAGACGAAAACACAAGTTATTACAATTAGAAGAATTTTTTTTTTGTTCTACGTTTCAGGCACACTAAAAAGTTTCTTCTGCTTGTGTATATGTGTTTGCTCCCTAAATTCGCCATGGGCCTCGCTGGCAGGCCGGGAATTTACCTCCCGGTGCAGTTGCCGAAGCACGCTGGGACGGCGCGCTTTGCCCACCTGGGAATAATTCCTGCTCAGATCTCAATCATAGACCTTTTCTCTTACTAGATGTCATTAGTAGACGAGATCTGAATGATTGAGATTGCGCCTGAGTTTGACTTCAAACCAAGAGATTGTGTCATTGAGTGAGAGTGGCTCAAATCAAGGTTCTTTGTTTGCCTTTACTTATATGGAGAGATGAAACAATATGTAAATGGCAGGGTTGCTAGAAATGTAAATGACAGAGAAAAGTGAATGACTAATATTATAGATTAATTGTAAATTAAATGACTGGAAATGAGTTGTACATGAACTACAAATGAGATCGATACTACTAGTGAGCAGTAGAGCTAATAAACAAGGAAAACAATGAATGCTTGGCTAAAACTAAATGTCTACAAGGAAGTTGATGAGCTAATTTGAGTAGAGTTGATAGATTGGTTGTTTGAGTGTTCATAATCCTTCTGCCGTTGTTTATTTATATAGAGATCTAAAAGAGCCCCTTTGTTGAGAACAATGAACTTGATCGAAAGAAGCTTGGCCAAGCATGCATTTGTCCTGATTAAACAAATCTCTTGGTAAGCCTCCACCATCCAAATAAAAGGTAAAAGCAATATTATAATATCAAATTAAATATCTTTCCAAGTTAGCCTTCTTGCACATTAATCCTCCAAATGCCATATTTTACCCAAATAAGTGAAATGATGCACATTTTAGTGCAAACAATATGTATCTCACAAATATAATCGTTACAAATCCATTTAACTTGACATTAAAATTTGTGTATGTATATCACAAATGTGTTGTTAAATTATATTAGTGATTTAGCAGGTGCTAATTTTATTTTTTACAATTTGTTTTGTGACAGTTTACTTTGAATATTTTTCAACCAATATATGAAATGCACCGGTCTTTGAATTACAGACTATCAAAATCTAGCCTTACAAATTCAACCGTTCAATTTGTTCGAAAAAAATTCAACCGTTCAATGCACAAACGCATTCATTACACTGGCACATTAAAAATTTTAATTATTTTGATGCTCCATTAATATTTGTTATTGGCTAAAATTGATTCTATGGTCTTGAATTTATCCACGATTTAAATTTCTGTCCAACAAATAAAGGAAAATGATCTTCGCCGGTGGGAATCCGGAGGATCAAGCAATAACGACCGTTCATCGTATATTGTACGATTAATTTTTTTTAAATAATATTTATATTTAATTTTAAATTTTAAATTTATAATAATTTCTGACTGTACAATATACAATGAACTGTGATAGCTTGATCCTCGAATCCCCACAAAGAGGATCCGGCAAGGATGCTTTTCCAATTACAAGAACTGAATTTTGTCATAAATTCAAGACAATTAAACAATTAGGCCAAAGAAAATTGGTTTTTTGAATTTTTTTTTTCTGGGTTAAGGTTGAAAATTAGGAAAAATAATTATATACCAAAAAAAAAATTGAACAGAAAAGTGAGAACCGTTGATCAGATAATTGTAGTCTGTAATTTAGTCGACACGGTGGAGATTCCGAGAAACATATCATCACATCAACGGTTCTTAATTAAACAGAGAAAATAAAAACAAAATAAAATTGAAAAAAAAAGAAGAAGAATAAAATTAACGAAGAAGAAGAGAGTTGGGAGGCTCAGAAGGATCCATTGGTAATTTTTGTAATCACACTTGGGAATTTAATCCCTCAGAAAATAGGTAGATTTTCATCATCACTGCCTCAAGCAAATCGCACAAAGCAAAACCCTAATTCTAGAGAGAGAAAGAGAGAGCAAAACCCTAATTCTAGAGAGAGAAAGAGAGAGACGGCGAGAAGACAGAGATTGCTGTGACGAGGTAGGCTCTGAGCTCTGAATATATAGAAGCGCGATTCCGATTAGGGTTCAAGTGTTTAGCCGTCTTATGGGCCGAGCAACTTTACTGAATTACGAAATTACCCCCAATACCTTTAGCCCAATAACGCCCATTTAGCAATGGACGTTAAAGATCTAAAAGTGGAAATGGGCTTCTATTCATTTATTTCCAAGTCCAATTGTAGTTAAGAGGCCTACACAATGATTGATGATTGACAAACCAATTCCACTCATATTCCAGTTGGACAATGCAATTTGTTCGTACTCTTGAACCATTCATATTATAACACGTTATTCATATTATACTCTAAAAAATAAACTTGACGTTCATTCATATTATAACATTGATATAATGCGTGATGGTTTTTAACTACCTTTGAAATATTTCCTCCCTTTTATTGGTTCAAGGCATTGATGTAAACATTGAACATTCATTCCAAAGGGAAAGCAAAGTCACATTCAAGTTTTTTATTGATTTATGAAAGGAAAAATACCCATGGGATTTTCTGAATTGATGAGCAAGGATGGTACTATTTTCACATTTCTATTTTCCACACACTTTTGCTAATTTTTTGTCATTGATCTTCTTCAACTCATCCGGTCTGACGGTCGAAAAGTGAGAAGAGTATGTGAAAAGTAAAAATAAGTATGTGGATAACAGTATCTTTTGGCAAATATACCCAGAGCTTCTATCATCTCATTGGGTCAGTATATAAAAAGTGACTTGGGCAGAAAGAAAAAAGTCCCAAATTAGCTCAAATCTCAAACGTGTCAGCGAAACAAAACAAACCCTAGTTTGTTTCTTCTCGCTTCCTCTTCTTCTCCTTCTTCCGCAAGTAATGGATACATCGTACATGTAGATATTACAAGGAACATGAATATCTTTTCTCAAACATCCCAAATCTGTTTTTCCATAGCCGAATCTCCATGCGAGCGTTGTTGCTGTTGCTGAAAAGGGTTCATCATTGCCGGCAATCTGTGCTGACTCATTGCCTCCAAGTCCAGCCTTTGTTGCTGGTTGTGGTGGTGGTGGTGCTGCTCATGCAAGTTTGGCGGCCTCGACCCTCCGATACCCAGCAGATCGAGCGTCGTTGAAGGCCCCAGCGCGCTGTTCATTCGATGCGTCGAAATACTACTACTGGAATTGTTGGTAGGGCTATTAATGTTCTGATGGTCTTGTTCGAAATTCTTCAACAATGCCTGGTGGCTCTGATGGTGCTGGTGGGGATCGCCATCGATCCCCATGAAGACTTGGCTGAAGAGTCCCATGTCTGTCATTGCCGAGCTAGCGGCTGAGTTGTTGGAGTGATGATCAAACAGCTGTGACATTTCTTGTGGGCCCTTTTGCATGAGCTGGTTAGTGAACCCTCCCATCATGTTGTGTGAATTATATGATAGAGGATCAGACGCTTGAGGTTGTTGTTGGAAGTGGTGAGGTTGATGATCATACGATGGTGGGGGTCGAATATTATTGTTGAGAAGGGAATTCGGGCTAGAGAGGTGTCCGTGATCAGGACCTGCCATGCTGCTAACAAAGCTCTTCTGCATCATCGGCGAGTTGATCGTAGAGTTGCTTGCGGAGGCTCCCATTTGGGCGGCTTTTTGAAGCAAGGCGGTGGCTGACATTTGAGCAGCCCCAGTAATACTACTTAGGCTGCTGCCTCCGTTTTTGATTTCTTGGTTGTGAAGGTAATTGAACCCTGATGAGCTGTTGTTGTTGTTGTTGGAACTTAGCTGAAGGCTGGAGGCCGAGGTGGAAGACACGCTTCTTGGCCCGCCAAAGAGCGAACCGGCGGTGCTTGAGAACATGCCTGGTCCTCCACCACCACCTGGAATGTTCATGTTCATGTTCATGGATTTGAATGGCATTGGGACCAGATCTTCAGGAAGCTTGTTTTTGTTGGGGTTAATATCGTAATTGAGGAATTCGGAGACTCCTCCTCCTCCCATGGTGGAGGTGCTGGTGTTCATGGCCGTTGATGATATGAGCTGATCATGTGGCATAGACATTTGGTTTACTTTGTTGTTTTCTTCTGCCAATGCGTCACAAAAAGCTCTGTGGGTGATGAAGCTATCCCTCCTGCACGTTTACATGCAAAAGTACAAAATTTGTACTTGATATTGTTGATTACATAAAATTCTGTGGAAGAATGTGCATGTAGTTATCTTATTTAAATTGCAATAAACTATTTGGACATACAAAATAGACATAAGCTAATATAAATGGGCTCTATTATTGCGTGCACTCCACTTATATTAAAAATCGTGTCAACAAGTATGTCATTGTTATTGTGTCTAAACAATGTTGGAAGGGAGAGATCATTTTGTGGAGAAATTTTTAGTTGTGACCGGAAAATGGATGGTACATTACGTATTTTTATGTAAGTGGTAGAAAATTTTAATTTTTAAATTATTAACCTTTTAACACACATATCCTACCATTTATATAAGGACACGTGATGTACCGTCTCGTGTGACGGTCACACTGAAAAATCTCTCCATTTTGTGACATAAAATAGAAAGGTTCCAAAAAGAGTTTGACAAATGTAACTATTATTTCAATTGGTCGGCCATTTCTTTCCTAAACGTATATTTTTGCGTTTGGAGGGCTCAAGCACAACAGTTATGGTACATTAAAAGTCATTTTACATATAATTTTGTGACAATTAATGCTTGTAAGAAAAATGTTGCAGAAATTATAACTAGCTTGTAGAAGAATAATAATGTAGTTAGTTGGTTAGAGCAATGTACTTCATACTCTACGCTCAAGTCTGAATTCTACTCGCAATATAGATTAATTTAGTGAAGATTATTGCTTGGTAAGTTAGTATAAAATACACATATGGGGACTAATTCTTAACAGATTAAACAACCATCTATACATGAAGTAGTTTTTGGTGATCCCAATCTTGATTATATGTTCATGCACATGCAATATTCAATTAACAAAATTAAACTATTCATGATCATGAGTTAATTAACGAACCTGGAAAAGATGGTTCCACAGTCACATTTATACTCCCTTGTGCCGCAGGTCTTTTGATGCGCCTTCCAATCCGACTGCACTGCATATTTCTTGCTGCACTTGTCACATTTCCATTTTTTCTCCCCATGTTTCCGGCTGAAGTGCTTCTTAATGCCGGTGAGATCTCCTAGCGCCCGAGCTGGGTTATGGTGAACACACGTCGGCTCGGGACATATGTAGACCCTTTTCCTAACCTCAGTTGTGGTTCTCTGCCGGAGCTTCCATGGAAGGTTATGGCCTCGACGATGCAACTGAAGGTTTTGATCCCTTTGAAACCCTTTGTTGCAGATCTCACACACAAATCGGTTCGTTGCCATTAGGGTTGTTGGTGATAGTGCAATAACTTCTGCGCTAGGATCTGATCACACAAATACAAAACTTTTAGAACATAATTAATTAAGTAGCATAAATATTAATTAGTATAATTAGCAACACTGGTTAATTATGTCAACATATACACTTGTGGCCAACAAAAAAAGTGAAATCAAGCAAACAGTTGTATATTATTGTCAACAATTCTTGATAAAGTTTATATTCTTTCGCAAGATAACTAAAATCAGAACTCTTTGTTTTTTTTTTTTTTTTTTTTTTTTATTTATTTAAAGAAAAAGCAATATATGTCGTTGAAATGAAATATTACAAGACTCAGGCATGTCGCCAAATATTGGTAAATATTCTCGAGTGAATCAATCTCAACATAAGCTGACATGATCCGGAAAGAAGCCCTTTTGTTTTGTTCTTCTGAAATGAATCAAATCCCCGCGCCTTGTGTCGTATGTTATATACATATAGTGAAACATGCCAATCAAATCAAGAAACTACTTGATATTAATTCAAGATTATTTGCCTGGAGTTCCTGGAAGATTTCTTTTCTTCTTAAGTGGCGGCTGCTGGTGAGTGACAGAGCCATTACTGTTGCTTTGGGCACCGGAAGCACCGCCAGAGCTGGAGCGATGCAAGTGGTTTTCTTGCTGCTTTTGGTCTTGACGAACTTCTAATTCTCCAGTATTATTCCCTGAGGAGAAGCTTCCTTCTTCAACATCACCTGTAATATTTGACATTTTTGACAGACAATAAGGGTTGAGATAATTATACAGTTATAATTAGCCTGTTCTTTTTCTACGCTCAGCTCAGATTTTCTATGTTGCCAGAAGGACTAGAGTACTAGAGACTTGTTTTTGCCGAACAGAAATTCAGGAGTTTGCTTTTGGTAGAGGAAGACAAAAGCAGGGAACTCAGCTCCTCCTTTTCTGGTGACACTGGTCAGAGGAGGAGAAGCAACTTTTGCAATTAGACTTAATCTTGGAACCTGGTCTTCTTTGGCCTTACATAATTATTATAGTGCTCACAAGAAACAATATTGAAATACTTAATTTAATTACCAAATACCCTTGACTTGTTGGGTAAATACAACCCTAACCTTGCTAGCTATATACCTTGTATTCCTTTTGTTTTTCTTTTTATGGTTCACATGTGAATTATGCTCAGTTTAGTCAAATTAGTTAGAGCATAGTGCTTTCACATTTGCACTTAATTTCGAATTCCTTTTTTTATATAATTTAGATGAATTAGTGTAAATAATCGTTCGTAAAAGAAAAAAACCATTAAAGAAAACGTTTCCCTAACTATATATATTTATGTATATATACACAAACACATTCTCATCACTTTCTTGTTTAGTTATCGAGGTATGCTCACTTCTAGAACAAATTTATAAACAAATTAAAGTCGCTTAAAGTCAAGAAAAAAAAAATCAACGTAGGACCTAAATTTATAAACAAAATATTTTTTAAGAGAGAAATAATAATTGGATTTTGTTGGTGAACAGAAGTGTAGAATCTTACTTA